TGAAAAATTGAATTTTGAAACTTTGCAAACAAGTTGCTCTGAGTCAATTTTCCCACAGCTGAATCTATGCTCTTGTCTGTTGTCATTTCCCACAGGTAGTTACAGCATTGGCAATTTGAAGTATTTCATAAATAACTTGCCGATATTCAGCATGTTGCTTTATTTCCTCTCCTATAATTGAGTTGTGCAGGTTTGACATTTTGACTCAGCGTTGTAAAAAAAGCAGACTCAATTTACTGAAATTTCTGTGGTTGATGCATTTAGGAAAAAATACTGATTCCGTTTTGCAGTGCATTCATTAAGGGAAATGTACTTACCTTACATTTGTTTGCAGAACCAAGTAGTCATTCATCAGGAACAAGAGGAACATCTCGGTCTCCTCCCTGGAGTAAGTCACAACTTTGGGCAGGGATGATTCTGACCTGAGGCCTGGTTTCCACAAGGTTTTTCTGGTTTCCCACATGGAGTCCAGTCCCATGGCTATTTGAAAGCCATCTGCAGAGCCATTTTGGTATTCTCTTGACCCTACATGAACATCTGAAGGGTTTCCATCTGCTACACGCTGTGTGAAAGAGGGAGAATATAGAGGCAGAGATAATGGCAAAGGACCATGTCATTGCAAGGTGTTATCTTTGGAATCCAGATTATTGTAGTAAATGTGAGAATTGACAACATATAATGTTCATCAGCCACCTGCCTGCTCTCCCCTGCTGCTTCCCTCTAATTCTGGGGGCAAACCCTGGGTCTCGCTTCTGCACACCCTTTTGGAATTGATACAGATTTTGCCTGAATGAGGGCTCAGGATGCTGTCCCATCAACACCTCCATGCCCCTGTGCAGAAGTCCATCCACAGCCAACAAAAGCCTGAACAACCCATTCTCTCCCAAAACCTCTAGGTGACACTGCTTGACCCAGCTGGTGTAATGCTCAGCACAGCTGATGGAGCAGAGAAAAAAATCATGGTCCTTAAATGAACGGGAAGCTATGGTTTCATAAGACACTCTTCAGCTAGAGTATCCTGAAACATCAGCTGCAAAAAAGGTGCTTATATGCAGCTCTTTGCACTTACACTGTTTCCACTAATCAATTTCAACACTTTGTGTTGCTGTTGCCATCAAAATGTACTCTTCTGTATATAAAGAAAGGCTCTTCAGGCTCTTCAACAGGTTTTTTTAATGCTTTATGTTGATGTTGCCATCAAAATATACTCTTTTGTATATAAAGCAAGGATCTTCAACAGTTTTTCTAAAGGATGTGAACTGGAAAAAGCACAGGAATAATGGAGAAGAATAAAAAGATGTATAGCAAGTGTATAACATACCTAAAATCTAAATTTTAGTATATTGGTCAGAGACTTATGGATTCAGAGATACCTCGCTAGATTCTTCCCATACAAAGGCATTTTATACGAATGTGCTATATAGACACACACACACATATATATAAAAATCAATTATCTCTACCTGTAGACCATACTCTCATGGTCACTAAGGAACAACAGAATGACAGAAAAGAGAAATTAAGTGCAATAATCCTGTTAACCACTAGAAATCAGCACCCCGTTCCCAAAGATCTACTCCAGAAATAAATGGTGGTTGGGAACTCAGACAGATCCTGGTGGTGGTGGTTGTTCAGATCAGGTTTTCATTTTTTTCAATTTCTCAGTGTAGCGGAGATCTCTTTTTTGAACCAGAAATAGCTCCATATGGCTAGGAACTAACTTTCAAAAAACTTGTCCAGTGCAGAATTCTCTCATCCTCTGCTTTTAATGCAATATATTAACAGATCTTCATCCAACTATTCAATATCTGTTAAAATATGAAGTCTGTTTATATTTTTCCTTAACTTTCTAAACTTCTAAACAAATGGCTAAGAAAAGAAGAAGTAGATCTTCCACAGACACCTACTATTGACCACTATTCAATATCTGTTAAAATATGAAGTCTGTTTATATTTTTCCTTAACTTTCTAAACTTCTAAACAAATGGCTAAGAAAAGAAGAAGTAGATCTTCCACAGACACCTACTAATTGACCACTCCCCTGACCTTATAGCTATTATCACTTCTAAATCTATTTGATAAAATTTTAAATTCCTTACCTCAAATTAAGAAAGACAGGATTTCTGTGAGCTTCAGGCTAACAGATGAAAACCTAAAAGCTTCTCATTTGTATTCCTAGGAAGTAGCTGAATCTTTATGCTTTTCCTGCCTCATGTTTTCCTAAACTTGAAGGATGGAACAATCTTGAGGATCTCTAGCATTTGTCATGTTAGGAAAACAATTAAAACAGACATTATTTTCATTCAGTAAAACTGTGACTTTTCTTTGGTCTTTCTTCCATAATTTAGAAATTGCAAAGGTCAAAGCTTTCAGGAATTATACTTAAATAAGGTGATTAATTATGAAATTCATTAAGTACTTGATAGATATTTTGGGACCATCGATTCGGTATTTTCTACTTCAACCCAAAGTCAGATTAAAGATTACAAGTGAATAGCCAGTTATTAATACGGAAATACCTAGAGAACGATAGGGATGAGAAGGGTAGATCACTTTGGAGTAAGCTGCCACTTCTGCCAGTGTGACTCCAAAGAAAGACACAGCCAGTCCCAGAACTACCAGTGAGACCCAGCCAGCCTGGTCCCAATGAAATCGATCAGAGGCTGCTGCTTGTGCTGTTCTGCCGGTATCTATAAATGTACGGAGACAAAGCACACTTTCTATATCCCACAGCCCGTTAGGCCTATTGCATATGATTACACAATTCTTCTCCCATTTTTATTTTGCCCTTACAATTAGAAAAATTCCTCAACTTTGAAAACCAATAAAAAATGCTTATAGCAGCTCCTGTGAGTTTTATTAGCTTCTGTATGGCTGATGGTAGCAGAACTGCCCCGTTTGCTTTACTATGGTCATTTAAACAACTTAAGCTTAAAATGTTCCCGGGGCAAAAATTAGGGCTATGCCTAACAAGTACATTAAGCCTTATTATGTCTATTAAGCACAGGGAGCCACCCTTGTTGGGACTGCACATTATATTTGAAAGCTGTTATAGGCAGCGTACTGAAGCCCCTAATCGAACCAGCGTGGGAGGTACTTTTTTGTGACATTTAGAAACCCTCAATTACAAAATAACTAGCTAAAAGGGCAAAGAAAGGGATTTTCCTAACACAGTACCAGAAAACATAAACAGGCACTGGACGTAGGCAAAGAACTGGAAATATTTTTTTTGCATTCTGGTTTTACTTTTCTTCTGTTACTTTGGTATCTTAAGATACTCAAAATGAATAAAAAGCCCAATATCTGAGAGAAAAATAACCTCGTCACCTGAGGAATCAAACATTTAGAAATTGCCCAAGAGACAAAAATCAAAGATATTTTTATCTGCAACATTCAAAATAGAATAGAATATATTTTATTTCTTTATTTTAAAATATCTTTTATTACTTTATTTTAAAATAACTTTTATTACTTTAAAATTTAAAAACTACAAAAGTGCTAGTTCAAGTTTGTATGAAGTTGAAATAACTTAAATCCTGGTTTTTTCATGTTCTGTAAGTCTTTTATCGGTGGTTTAAAATGAAGCATACACTTCCAGAATGTGTATCTCAGAGCTGGGATCCTCAAAGGAAACCAGATGGCAAAAACCTTCAATCTTTTTCCCTTCTGCTCTTTGGCAGTCACAATCAAGAAAGTTATGAGGCTGGAAGATCAGGTTTCTATTCTATTGTTATAAAAATATTTTCTTCATGTATCCAATATGGTTTTAATTTTCTAGAAGTCCACAGTAGCAAATGCCAGTTTAGTGAGATAGTATATGCAAGCAGTTACAGAAAGAACATATACCACATTCTCTATCTCTTTTGGAGGCACTGGTGTTTTATTTCACACAAGTAATGTGACTTAAGAGTAGCTTAGACTGGAAACACTTGGGTTTTTTGATGCATAATACTGGATAGCTGTAGAGGAGTTTAAATTTCAAGCACTATCACGCACAAAGATGTCACTCCCAAACAGGAGACAAGGATCTGGTCTTAAAAAGTTGAAGTATAACCAGAGACAAAACTGACATGGTAGGAAAATATTTTAAGCTTCATCTGCGCAAATGGAAGATACAATCTGTCTACTGCCTTCACATAAACAGCATGGTTAAATATTTCAGAAATTCTTTTGATCACTGATCTTAAAGAACCCTCACATGATAAAAAGAAACCATTATCATTAATGTTCATGATTTGGAACCTGGAAGCTTGAAGGACCCGAAAGCTCAAATATGACAGTTAAGACTATGTTGGTTGTTCCTAAGACTTCTGGGGAAATAAAACGTGCGATTAGAGCTCTTTGATTACCTGAAGGAAGTTCAACACTTCACAAATTAGTGCTCCAACCTGGAACACTACTGGAAGATTTTTAAAGTTTGCTTCAAAATAAATATTCCAACATATTTTGATGTAGAATCTGCAAAACATTTGTGGATGTTTATTTCAATTCATTTCAGTGTTTACTGTTTCCTATGAAAACAGCTATTGAAATCAAAACTTCCCTACAAAAATTCACTTTTTACTAACTTCACTTTTTTGTTGGAAAATTCTCCCATCAAAGTAATTTTAGGATCCATGAGAATCTTCTGAGGAAACAAAGGTATGGGAAAATGAGAAATTAAGAAAAATACAACACAAACAAATGCCAGATTTTATTGAGGTACTGCATTCACATACGTTTGCGCACCGAACAATCACATTTGGCTAAAGACAACCATATTCATGACATGAAGACCCCACATTAGGATGGCACACAGGGAAAGCTTAAAATAAAACTTGGTCAACATGGTGTGCCAAATTCTGCTCTGCTTGACAACTGTATTATCTCATTGGAATTGCACAGGGTAAAGACAACAATTTGCATGAAAATGACTAACAGCAGTAGCTGGTATGTGCAAATCAAAATATACTACTTCTCTGTACAGTAACCATACACAAATACATAATCCTGGCACAGCTTCAGACTGGCCTCTGGTTATCGACAACTGTTGTAGTGGCCAGGAAACACTGCTGGAAGAGTGAGTCAGGTTCTTGTGGCTCACAGTCACAGTTCATCCTTGTGGCTCAGGAAACCTCTTGAAGCCGCTTGGCTTTGTCAACAGCTTGTTTTGGTGGGGGCCTTGTGAAGGATGCAGCTCTGTATCTGCAAAATACCAATCACAGTTAAGAATTAGACTGAACAGGCAAAGATTTTTTTCCTCTGCTGCACAGCAGAGTTGATAAGGAGATCCTACACAACAAGTCCAGAACAAACCACACAGCTCAATCCATTTCACTGGGATTACTTCCTTCCAAGTGTCTCATTATATTCCTAACCTTTATCATGTGAAGACTTACACCTCTGAAGGGCATCACTACAGCTATGAAACACTAAGTGCCTCCTCTGGGGATGTATGTGGATGGGTAGATCTGCTGTCGCTCCTCTGCTGTGCAAGTGAGGATTTCACCTCGCATGTAATAAAGGCTCAAGGCACAATGGCACTAAAACAAAACAAAAAAGGCTTAGCAGATAAAGACAGAGTCAGTGTCATTCATCTAACATTTCTACGCAGTGTCTCTTGGAAAATGCACCACTAATATCTACATTAAACTGCGCATTTCACTTTTTTCATGATAGACATACTCACAATGTGTGCCTTTAATCCTGAAGGATACCAAATATATTCCAAACTACACTTGCAGAATTTCTATACAAAGAAATTACTCTACTGCTCATTAAAACAGGATTGCTGCTGAGGTGAAGCACAACAGCTATTGGTACAGCTGGGTTTAGAAGCAGATGTTTGTCCGGATATGCAAAAAACAAGGAACATGCACTGAAGTCTGGCCAGAAAATCTCAGCTAATTCAGCTACTGACAGAAGTTCTGAAGTGTGAAATTTTGGATTTCAAGGCAGATGGCAACTAGCAGCAAAGAGCATCCTAACCAGCAAAGAACATCACTTCAATACTCGTTCATTGAGAGGAATGATGCTTACCTGAGTTATCAGTGACACTTTTTGTAGATTCTAGATTTTCTTCTGCTTAAGAATCTGAGGATGGTTATACATTCCTGACCAACTTAAAACAAAACATATGAGACATACCTATAAATTTAGAATTATACCCTCCCCTAGTATTGCCATCTGGTTGACAGCAGGCTCAATATGAGTCAGCCATGTGCCCTGGCAGCCAAGAGGGCAAAGCGTATCCTGGGGTGCATTAAACACAGTATAACCAGCTGGTCAAAAGAGGTGATTGTCCTGCTGTATTTAGCCTTGGTGCGGCCTCACCTTGAGTATTGTGTGCAGTTCTCAGCCCCACAATTTAAGAAAGATGTGAAGGTACTCAAAGGCGTCCACAGGAGGGCAACAAAGCTGGTGAAAGGGCTGGAAGGAATGTCCTATGAGGAGTGGCTAAGGACTTTGGGCTTGTCTAGTTTGGAGAAAAGAAGGCTGAGGGGCGACCTCATTACTCTACAGCTTACTGAGGAGGGAAGTGGAGAGAGAGGTGCTGATCTCTTCTCCCTGGTATCCAGTGAGGATGCATGGGAATGGTTCAAAGCTGCACCAGGGGAGGTTCAAACTGGACATTAGGAAGCATTTCTTTACCAAGAGGGTGGTCAAACACTGAAACAGGCTTCCTAGAGAGGTGGTCAATGCCCCATGCCTGTTAGCATTTAAGAGGCATTTGGACAATGCCCTTAATTTGCTTTAATTTTTGGTCAGCCCTGAAGTGGTCAGACAGTTGGGCTAGATGATCGTTGTAGGTACCTTCCAACTGAAATATTCTATTCTATTCTATTTCCACATACAGCATTTCTGATTAAATACCAGATCAGAAGGGAGCTCAGATGTTCCTATTATGGCCATCACTTTCTCCAGACTAGGGGACAGACCCACACACAGCCTGACACAGCACCCAAGACTGTCTCTACTCAGAGCAGCTTGACAGACATTTCCTTCCCAGACCGGGACACAGTCTAGCAAAAGCCAGGGGCTGCTGGTGTGGCCTAAGGGATGCCTGGGGCTAAGACACAGCCCCACACACGCTAAGGCTGTAGAGATCCTTCATCTGTCTCACTTTTGACAAGTGTGAATCTAGCCTGTTCAAGATGCCCTTGGAAGAAAGTCCAACAAGTTGCCTCATTGGCTGGTCCAGTACTACTGCTACCCTTACAGTTTGGAAGATTTTCTATTACTAAATCTGGATCTACTTCAATGTGAAATTCAGCATATTGCTTACCCTGCCTGCCACAGACATGGAAAATAATCACTGTCCTCTATTTTACATAACTGAACACTGTCACTCATCTTTTCTTTTCTAGACTTAAGCCAGCTTAAGCCTGTCCTGCTGTTCCAAACCTTTATAATTTTCTCAGTTTTCTCTCTTCTCCAGTATGTCAACACCTAAGAGCATTACTGTAACAGAGGCAGTGCCAGCGCTAACTGGAGCAAATTATTACCTTACATCCTATATACAGTTCCCCTCTTTAGTATGTCACACTAAAAGAGCCCAGAACATCAGTACTCTGTTTATGGCATGCTGTAAACCCCCAGGTATTTTTTTTCCCCACATTACTTATTCTCCCTTAGGTATATTTGAGGATTTGATTTCTCCTTTTTAAGTACAGTACTTTGCTTTTACCTTTATTGTATTTCACCTTTTTTATTTCAGACCATTTCTCCAGGGCACTGAGATAATTCTGAAAGGTAGTTTTATCTCCCAGAGTCTTGCAACCCTTCCCAGGGTGGTGTCATCCATAAATTTTATACATACGCTCTTTAGTCTTTCAGCCAAGCTCTTAATACTCAACTGAAATAGAATACTGAGACATCCTTCCCTACAAAAATGTGTTTGAGAATGAGCCGCTGAAAACTTCTCTTTGACTGCATTTTCATAAAGATCTGTAAATCATAGCCACTTGTTCCTATTTATCTGACAGGCAAAATTACCTTGAAAAAGAGAGAAATTAGACTGGTTTGTCATATCATAGAATCATAGAATCATTGAGGTTGGAAAGGACCTCTAAGATCATCGAGTCCAACCATCAACCCAACACCACCATGCCCACTAAACCATGTCCCTAAGTGCCTCATCTACTCGTCTTTTAAATACCTCCAGGGATGGGGACTCCACCACTTCCCTGGGCAGCCTG